TGGTGTTCTATGTGCTTCTTGTATTTGTATGAGGATGTCTTTCCTTGGTTTTGGGAAATTCTCTTCTACAATCCTGTTTAAGATCTGGTCAATACCATTAACCTGAAATTCTTCTCCTTCTCTATGCCTATGATAAACAGACTTGGTCTTTCATGGAATCCCACATCTCTTGCATATTCCATTCCTGGGTTGTTGTTTTTTTTTAATTTTTCATAATCTTTGCTTGAGTGGTCCAATTCTTCAACTTTTTCCTTAAGTGTTGATAGTCTGTTTTCCATTTCATTCATTCTAGGGATGAGGCTTTCCCCTGTTGTTTCAAATTGACATATTGAATTTTTCTCTTCCAAATTTATCCCCATCTTCTTTTAGTTCTTTGATTTGTTTGTTCATGTGTTCTTTAAATTCGTAGAATTCCTTGATCATGTTTATGATTTTTCTTTTAAATTCTGTATCCTGGGTTATCTCTAGGGGATTCTCCTTGTAGAACTCTTCTACAGGACTGGTGGAGTTTGGTGGGAACATAGTGTTTTGGCTTTCCATTTTATTATTCTTTCGTTGTGATTTTGGCATTTGAATTTCTTTTGTTGTTTGTGATTCAGATATGAAAATTAAGTTGAAATTTGCTTCTGTTTGTATTATTGGTGTGTTTTGGCCCTTTTCTTATTGGTTATGTAACACTGATTGGTCCAGGTTTCAGGTTCTCTCATGTTTTATTTTGGAGGGAACTGATGGCTTCAGATCAGTTACTCAGGAGCTCCCACAGAAACCCAACTCAGGTTCCAGTCAGGTACACTCAGGCTTCCTTCTAAGGTTTGGACCCCTACTAGTGGGAACTCAGGGCAAAATTTGGGAAATTCCCTAAGGGGATTTGGGACTTCCAGGTGGTCCACTGAGTTCTCAGCCCCTATGCCAGAGGGAGGCTGGAACAGGCACTCTGGCAGTCTGCTGAGATCTCAGCTTCATTCTACCAAAGGGCAGAGGTCTGCACAGGTGCCTTAGGAGGGACCTCAAGTAGTCCCAGTTAGGGGGTTTGGTATGGTCAATTTGGGGAAGCTCACCACCACATAGGTACAGAGTCCAGGCACTCTCAGGTGGTCCCCTGAGTTCTCAGCCCCTAAGCCAGAGGGAAGCCAGAACAGGCACTCTGGTGGTCTGCTGATATCTCAGCTTAATCCTCGTGTATGAGTTTTTTGCCTGTATGTATGTAAGTGCACCGTGTGCATGCAATGCCCCACAGAGGTCAGAAGAGGGTGTCAGATCCCCTGGAACTGGAGTTATGGACAGTTGTTAGCTGCCATGTGGATGCTGGGAATTGTACCCAGGTCCTCTGGAAGAACAGCAAGTGTTCTTAACTGCTGAACCATCTCTTTAGTCAAAGCATTGTATGTTTTTTATGTAGTTGAAGTTTTGAAGCATTTGAAGTTTCACCTGAACTTTTAAAATCCCACTTCCAAACTGTATATTTAGATTATAAAGATGCTTATTCAGAGAACAGGGCATGTTGACATGTGTAATTTTACTACTGGGTAGTACTGCTGGGGCAGGGGAATCTTGAGTTTGAGGCCAATGTAGGCTATAGGGCAAAACCCTGTCTTAAAGGGGAGAAAAATGCTTGATTAGTTTGGAAATCGATCACTTGAACTGCTAGTCATTCTTTGGTTTTCTTAACTTTAATTAATTTAATGTGTATGAGTGCCTTGCCTGCATGTATGTAAGTGCACCACATGCATGCAATGCCCACAGAAGGCATCGGATCACCTGGGACTGGAGTCACCATTAAGGACAGATATTAGCCATCATGTGGGTGCTGGTAACTGAACTGAGGTCCTCTACAAGAGCTGCCAGTACTCTTTACTGCTAAGCCATCTCTGCAGCCCCTTCAACTTCAACTACATATAAAACATACAGTGCAGTGACTGAAGAGATGTTTCAGCAGTTAAGAACACTTGCTGTTCTTCCAGAGGACCTGAGTTCAATTCCCAGCATCCACATGGTGACTAACCTTTTACATAGTCATTTTATCCTTCTGGCCTCTTCAAGGGAAAAGAGCAGGCTGACTTCAGTCCTCAGTTAGTTTCAGAAATGTCATAGGACTCTGTCATTTACAACTTCTTTGATTTAGATTTTGAAGTTGGATTTTTTTTTTTTTTTCAATTTCTGACACTGTTTCTTCCTTCTCACAGTTTCTTGGAATAACAGTTTTAGGTTTTGTTAAAAATTATGATTTCCAGGGCTGGAGAGATGGCTCAGCGGTTAAGAACACTGGTTGTTCTTGCAGAAGACCCGGTTTGAATCCCAGCACCCACATGGCAGCCAACAACTGTCCATATAACTCCAGTCCCAGGGGATCCGACAGCCTCTTTTGACCTCTGTGGACATTGCACGACACAGGTGCACTTACCTACATTCAGGCAATATATGCATACACATAAAATTTGTTTTAAAAAATTTAAGTTTAAAAAAAAATCATGATTTCCTGCTAAAGTTCTAAGACACATTGAAGATGTTTTTGCCATCACTTTGAGATTGAGGGGTTTTGATGTCAAGTGACTGGCCTCTTGGAGTCAAGCCATAAAATGAAAATTTAGAAGACTCCTTCCTGTTCGTTTGGAGCTCTCTGATATGTTCATGTCGCATGGGTCTCTCCAGAGATTTTCAAGTGCTGCCTGGCTCAGTTTTGCAGCTTCAGGTGGGGTGACCAGCAGTTTGTAGAGTCAGTCTTAACCTTCGCACTAACTCGAAGCTAGCAGAAGCCCTTTGGCTAGCCTGTTCCCTCTTTTAAGTATGCCTCTGTTTACCATAACTGCAATCCTAATGGCCTTACCAGTACCTCCGAGAGAAATTGTAGAGATATGGGCCTTGATTCTGCAGCACCGTTAAGGACTGGAAGGGACATATAGTTCCATGAACTTGCTCTCCAACTTCACTCTACTCACCCCACAGATAGTGATGTTATTTGTCCACAGCATTTGGGCAAATGGAAAAGGCCATTCCTAGCTGGAGGAGAGCAGTCTTGAGTTCTGACCACTTTAGTCCCCACCTGGTCTTTCAGAAAACTAGATCAAAGCAGCACCACGCCCTGAACCACGCCATTCTCTGCGGGCAAGCGTGTCCTGGCAGAAGATAGGGGCACCCTGCAGTGAAGGCCTAGTGTCCCATGCTTCCCAGTGGGGCTTGTTCTAGGTTTACAGTTTCTTCCCCAACAAAAAACTCAATCCTTCCTGGAATGACTACAAGGATCTCCTTTCCCTGATGCTCTGTTCCTCATGGTTGGTTTTTCAGCTCAGGCAGCAAGAGGCCTTGGACACTGAAAAGCCTCAACAGAGGTGTTAATGGTGCTCAGCCTCAGTGTCTTAACATTCATTGGTTTTCTGTGAAGCTGTTTTGTCCCTGGGTTAATGTGCGCATTTCAATTACTACTTGGGCTCCTGGTCCATGGCTCCTAGGGTTACCTGAAGTTGACTTAAGACCCAGGTCTTCTGCAAGAACAACCAGTATTCTTAAGTGGTCTTCAGAAGTACAACTGTCTCTGTGAGGAGAGTAGGTGTCTCTGAGTCATCCACCTCCTGTTCCTTTCAACAAAACTCTCCTGATTTCTCTCCAGCATACTCAGATGGCCCATCACCTATGACCCTGTCCAAGGGACACTGAGAGGAGAAACCTTCCACATGGAAAGAACGCCGTTAGTGGCTGACAGTCTGGGAGGTTTGGAGAGGCCCAGGGATGAAGCCACAGGTCCCTCTGAAGATATTGATGCGGTTTAGAGGGGGCTTCTGATGGGGCAGCCAGGGGGTCAGGGTGGGAGTGGCAGAATGCCTCATGGAGTTTCTTCATTTAGAATGCATCTGTTTGAAGGAGAGGAGGGGATATCTGAAGTGTAAGACAAAACAATCAGGAAAGATACAGAAAATGTTTTAGTATTTCATTGAATATTGTTTTTCTTGTGTTTATCCTTTTAGTCTAATCTTGTCCTTGGTGGAAAATAGCACTGTTGATGTTACACTTGTGTTTCCAGTGACCCAAGATATTTTAGTTGGTTTATTGGTTCAGGGTTAAATAAGAATGAATCATAATCAGAAAGTCATTTCTTTAAAACTTGCAAGCCTTCTTCTGATGATATCAACAATGTCAACGTCGAAGCAAAAGCCGACTCTCACCTCAAAGGGGATTAAGAGATAGTTTATTCTGGAGACAAATATGAGTGACCATGGCTCGGAATACAGATTCAGGTTACCCCAGATTCCATGTTCTGGCATGGTAACAGTTACGTTATGTTTTATAGTAACAGAACAAAGAAAAGTCATAAATCAAGACACTTTTCAAATTCATTGGTGGATACGTTCAGGAGGCAGGTCATACATATAGGTCTCAGATGCTATCTGATGACATTCTTAGCTTTTTGATTGGTGAGACCTGGTGGTCTGCTAAGTTAATACATTTTATTAGCCACAAGAACATTAATTCAGAAACAGAGGTAGGCAAGGTGTGGCTATTTATGTGGTTAAAGATGTTCCCAGATAATTTGTAAACAGGCTCTAGATGCACAAACATTCCAGACTCCACAATCTCTGGAGTGTTAATCAGTTGGTAAGCCTTACAGGAAACTCAGTCCAAGGTGCAGGAGTGCTTTCTGGGAATTTTCTTTCACAACAAGGTTAAATTTTCTCGGGTTCATTTTTTCCTTCTAACAAAGAAAGCAGGTCTCCAGCTCACAGTTCTCTACAACCATCAGTATCTTCCTGAGTTTTCATAGAAACAATCTGCTTTTGTTATTTTCATTTTTATAGTTATGGTCCATTTATGGAAAATGATGCGGGTTTCCTTTTAGGGTGTGTTAGAAATTATAACAGGTTTGTCAAAAGGAGCTGATACAATTACCCTTCAGAAGAGCTTTGTTAGATGGGACCCTAAAGAGGCCTGCAGTTCTGAAGAGGAGCTTCATTAGGAGAGAGAACTACAATGTATACCATGATGGAAACCTGACGGAAAGAGCCTTTAAAATCCCCAGAATGAAGGGAGTTTCTGACACATAGGTTTTTCAGGAGGTGGCAGAAGTTCCACACTGTGTGACTTTGCCATGTGACATGCCAAAGGGCAGAGAGGCGGGCAGTAGACAGGACTATAAACTGATCTTGCAGTTGCAGGGGAAGAGCCTGGCTTGCCTCCCTTTCTCAGCTGAGGCCTGAGTGCTGTGACAGCAGGCCCCTGACAGTTCTTTGTCCTAAGGGACAGACTGCAGGAGGGGCATAGCCTGATTTTTGGGAAGAGTGGAATGGCTAGAGGCGTTTGTGATCTAGCAAGGTGGCTACAGAAAATTCCACCAAAATATTTGATGAGCAGGCAGGTAAGTAGGTCGGTTGGTAGAGTGCTTACCTAGCATTCATGAAGCCCTAGGTTTGAGCCCCAGCACTACAGGCAGCATTGCTTATATTCCCGGCACTTGAGCAGTAAGGACAGGAGCATCAGAAGTTCAAGGTCTTTCTCAACTACATAGTTAATTCATGACCACCCTGGGCTACATTAATCCCAGCACTCGAGAGACAGAGGCAGGAGGATCTCTGTGATTTCAAGGCCAACCTGGTCTGCATAGAGAGTTCTAGGCCAGCTGGAGCTGCAGGGAGACTTTGTCTCAAAAAGACCAAAAAAGAAAAAAGAAAAAAAAATTAATGAGCTGACCAAAAAATTAGATAATGTAAGTCATATATGAATATGAAAAAAAATCACACTGTTGCTATGCAAACAAAAGTACTACTGGAGAATCTCTGATCTTTTATATATTATTCTGTGTTCGTTCTTATGAGAGCCTGAGAACTCAGAACTAAATTGGAGGCCTGGGAGATCACTTAGTGTGTACAAGTGCTTTCAGTGAAAGCCTGATGACCTGAGTTCAGATTCCTGGAGTCCACATAAAAATCAGATTTAGTATTCATCTGTAATCCTAGTACTCCTACAGAGATGGGAGGCTGAGACAGGAGGATTGTCAGGAAGCTCACTGGCCAACTGGTCTGGAGTACCAGCATAGTGGCAGAAAAGGAAACCCTGCCTCAACAAGGTGGAAGGCTAGAACTAACGCCTGAAAAGTTGCCCTTTGACCTACACACACACACACACACACACGCAAATTTTAAAACAAAAACTAAATTTCCATAGAGACACTTAAGACAATATATAGACATCAAACAACTACATTTGTTATTTAAATCCTTAACATCACTTTCAAGCTTATCAAAAAATACCATTAAGTATGAGTGCTGAAGTAAAATGTAATTAGAACTATGTATGAATGATTTATGATATAAGCTCTTGAGGTTGAGGGGATGGCTTAGTAATATGCCTACCACACAGGCTCAAGAACCTGAGTTCAGATCCCCAGAAACACATAAAAGCGAGGCATGACAGCAGGCATCTCCAATTCCTGCACTGAGGGAGTGGGGACAGGCAAATCCCTGTAGCTCCCTGGCCAGCTAGCCTAACCAAATTAGTGAACTCTGGGTTCAATGAGAGACTGTCTCTAAAAACAAGGTGACAGGCTGAAGAGATGGTTCAGTGGATAAGAACACATACTGCTCTTGCAAAGAACCCAAGTTCAATTCCCAGAACAGCGACTGAAGGAGACACCCAACATTGACCTCTGGCCTCCATACAGACCCTCATAAATACACCACATACACAAATATGGGAAGACCTCTTTACACTATTACTGTAGGGTCATTTTAGAACACAAAGCTACATAGTTGACATTGCCCGGGATAGAGAAGTAGGTCCTTAACCTTTTTTTTTTTAAACCTGAAAGCAGATCTTCTGTGAACATTCTGTAACATCGGCCACAAGTCTGTATGCAGTTCTTGTTGTTCAGTAGGGTGCGCCCTTTAAAATCTGAATAGTAATTTGTAAGTTAGTCACATTTCATTCAAGAAATCCGACCAGAGAAGTGTTGCTGCTCTTCTAGAGGACCTGAGTTCCCAGCACCCATGCCAGCCAGCTCACAACCACTTGTTACTCCAGCTCCAGAGGATCAAATACCCTCCTCTGGCTTCCATAGGCACACACACAAATAAATAAATAAATAAATAAATAAATAAATAAATAAATAAATAAATAAATAAATAAATAAAAACTTTTTAAAAAAGAAAGGTGATCACAGATCATTCAGTAAAGTTTCTCCCTTGAAAATAATAGACTTTCTACTGGCACAGATAATATGCATCATAATGTTTATTGATGAAACTTTTCCCATGTTAATATTGCTCATCATTCCTCACTTGATTAGTACCTGTAGTTGCCCTGCCAAGAAGTTAACATTGGCCTATTATTAGAGATGTACTTTATTATTACAGCATTCTAAACAAAACATAGGCGTCTACTCAGAATTAAAGCAGAAGCATGAAGAAAATCACTTCAGTGGTTTGCTGCCTCTCAAGGTGAATATGGTGGTGGTGACTGTCCCGTAGAGAGCTTCTCATAGGCAGGTGGGGCATTGGGAACCTGTAAGAATGAGGAAGGGAGAGCGTGGCCTTTCCAGCAACTATGTATTCTGGGAGAGACTGAGGCAAAACAGCTTACAATATATTTACACTTTTGCTGCGGGCTGAAGCTTTAAGTGTTCATGATTTCCTCCCAATACGATAATTGTTAAATTTCACAAATGTGTTCTGTTGAAGCATTGGAGGGAAGGGTAGACAAAAAGAGGGATGAGGGACTTCCAGAATCTAAAAGTGTATTTATACCTGGTTTATTCATGTCAGAATTCCCAGGCTTTAACTAATGAATTTGAAATATTTTTAATTACATTTATTTAGGACTGGAGAGATGCCTCAGCAGTTAAGAGAACTGATTATTCTTGCAGAGGACTCAGGTTCAGTTCCCAGCACCCACATGGTGACTAACAACCATCCATACCTCCAGTTCCAAGGGATCCAACACCCTCTTCTGGCCTCTGCAGGCATTGCATGCATGTGGTGCACTTACATGCATGCAGACAAATCACTCATGTATATAAAATACAAATAAATGAGTAACTTTTTAAAATTTTTATTTATTATTTTTATGTGTATGTGTGTATTGCCTGCAATGCCCGCGGAGGTCAGAAGAGGCTGTCAGATCCCTTGGGACTGGAGTTTCACATGGTTGTTAGCTGCTACGTGGGTGCCGGGATTCAAACCTAGGTCTTCTGCAAGGACAACCGTTGTTCTTAACTGCTGAGCCATCTCTCCAGCCCCATAAATGAGTAACTTTTAAAAATTACATTTATTTCATTTTAGTGTGTGTTTGTGTGTATATGGGTGTACCTGTGCCATAGCATGAATGTGGCTGTCAGAGGACAACTTTCAGGAGCTGGTTCTTTCCTACCATGTTCGTCTCAGGAATTTAGGGCTGAGGGTACACCTCAGTAATTGACAGTGTTCAAAGTCTAGAGGGGAGGGGGAGGAGAGAGAGAGAGAGAGAGAGAGAGAGAGAGCCCACATTTAACCAACTGAGCACAAATGTGTCAGTCCTTCAGTTAATGCTTATAACAAGTCTAGGAGATGTCAAATGAGAAACTAAGGCATAGAAAAGTTACTTGCCCCAGGTCACCAATAATTACACAAATAGGAAGTCACGGAGCTAAGAATCAAATGTGGTAATTTGACTTCAGAGTAAATGCTGTCAATTATTATTATTATTATAGTCAACATGCAGCAATGCTATCTAATAGAAATACAGTCCAAGTCACATTTGAAATTTACAAGTTCCTAGTAGCTTCATCTTTAGAAAGCAGGTAAAACAGATAAAATATTTAACTTATCATATCAATGTATAGTCATTTCAATGTGTAATCTATCTAGAAGTCATTAATGATTATATTCTTTTCATATGGTCTGTTGTTCACATATAGTGTGTGCTATAGAACTCCTTAATTCAAACTACTGTTTCGAGTACTTGATACCTGCATGTGGCAGTGGCTACCCCCTCAGATAACACATCTCTACATAATAAAACAAGTTCCTCCTGTTCTATTACGTATTGGACTGTTCCATACATTTTTTGGCAATGGAAAATCTGAGTATAAGAAAATACAATTTGGGCTGGAGAGATGGCTCAGCAGTTAAGAGCACTAGCTACTCTTGCAGAGGACCTGGGTTTGATTCCCAGCACCCACATGGTGGCTAACAACCATCCATAATTCCAGTTTCAGGGAATTTGACATCCTCTTCTGACCACAGGCACTGCATGACACAGGTGCACATACACACTGCCACTCATACACAGAAAATGAAATTAATAAAAAAAGATAAGATTCAAGAAAACCTGTTTCCCTTGTTTTCATTACAAAATATACATAACAAAATTTACCATTTTGACTTTTCCTGTGGCAGTAGTGTGGATTGAACCTAGGGCTTCATACATTCAAGGCAAGCAGTCTATCACTGAGCTACAGCCCCAGCCCTAAATTCGACCATTTTGGAGTGTGCAATTTACTGACATTAAGTACATTCATGTCGTCCTTGCTTTTTCAGTGGAAATTACTTTGTTCACTTGAACAGAAAACAGTGGACCTGAAAACGCCCAGATGTGTGATCTCCACCTACCAGAGGCTCCTGGGTTTTCTCTTGAAAAAACAGCCTGCTGTCCTGATGGCCAAGTCCCTCACATGAGCACTGTTCACGTGGCCATCTTTCCTTCATGGTACTTTGAGAACCGGCATGAAGCCTTTTGTTCTGAAATGGAAATTCATAAAAATGAATGGGTTAAAAGAAATAACTGAATCCATTTAAGAAAAGAGAAGGAAGGCAGTGTTTTAAGACAGGCTTTACACTAGCTGCTGCCACCTACTTGCTGTGTGTCTTTGGGCTACACCCTTTACCTCTCTAAATTCCACTTTTTACATCTGTAATAGCAAGCAAATACAGCCTACCTCCTGAAGCTGTAGGAATTAACTGAAGATAAAGCACTAGTGCTAGTGCAGTGCCTGGCACCCTGTTGTTGCTCAGTGAATATTGTGAAAATTAAAGCTTTTTCTTAATTGATCTAGCATATAGTAATTTGTTCAAATGATAATAGTAACAATTTTTGATTATGCTTTTAAGGAAAATTAATGACAACAGTGGTACAGGGATATAAGGGAGGAATTAAGGTTGTTTTGTTATTAAGGTGCTCATATTACCCATGAAGTAGGTTTGAATTAGTTATGAATGTATATTTCAAACTCTAGGGGAACTAACCACTTAACATAAAAAGGAAAAAAAAAAGGGGTGTGCACAAAAAGAAAAGAGAAAATAGAATCATGCAAAATGCTCGCTAAGACTACATAAAGCAAAGAAAACAGAATGAAAGAGAAAAGGAGGGACAAAGTGTAAATTTTTAAATAAACAACAAAGGCAAAAATGTTTAATGTGAGTAGATACATATCAATAATTACTTTGAATATAAATTATTTAAATATACCAATTAGTAGAGGTTGTCATAGTGGACAAAAAACCAAGACCCCAGACAAAATGGATGCAGAAAGATGTAGCATGCTATTGCTAATCAAAGAAAATGGGAATTCCTATGTTAATTTCAGAAAAAGGAAACTAAAAAGTAAGGTCAGAGATAAAGAGGGGCATTGCATGATAATAAAGACATTTGTTCTCCAAAGAGACATAACTATTGAACACATATGCACTTAATAACAGAGCGTCACAACACAAGAGACAAAAATGGACAGAACTTCAAGGAGATGTAGTTAAATCCATTGTGTACTTGGAGTTACAGTTGGGAGAATTCAACACTTCTCAAAGAGAAATGGACAGGTCTATCAGGCCAAAAAAAAATTTATATATATATATATAAAGGACATACTATATATAATTGATGTCTACAGGCTAGATGCTGTTGGGTGACAATTGCCATCCAGGAACAGCAGAACATGTGTTCCCCTAAAGCTTATGTGCAACATTTCATCAAGAGAGACCACATTTTGGGATACACACACACACACACACACACACACACACACACACTCAAAGACATAACATCCTGAATGTGTTAACTCATACCTGTAATCCCAGTACTTTGGAAGCAGAGGCAGGAGAATTGCCTTGAATTCCAAGGTAGTCCAGGCTACAGAGTGAAACTGTCTCAAAAAACCAACTAGTTTAAAAAAAAAAAAAAAAGAAAAGAAAATTGAAAGAAAGGAAATTATATAATATCTAGTCTCAGACTTCAATGGAATTAAGTTAGAAATCAACAAGAAAGGTAGCTGGAAAATTCCAAAATACTTTCAGATTAAATAGAACACTTTTAAAAACTTTTTAAAATTTTTTATTTTTTATTTTATTTTATGTGTATGTGTGTATTGCCTGCATGTAGATAAGTGCACCCGTGTCATGCAATGCCCGTGGAGGACAGAAGAGGCTGTCAGATTCCCTAGAACTGGAGTTATGGATAGTTGTTAGCTGCCATGTGGGTGCTGGGATTCACCCCAGGTCTTCTGCAAGAACAACCAGTGTTCTTAACCTCTAAGCCATCTCCCCAGCCCCTAAATAGAACACTTTTATATGGCATATGGGTCAAAGAAGAAAATGCAAGAAAAAAATTGAAAGTATTTTCAACTAAAATTAGAAATATAACATAAAATTGTGCAGGGTACAGTGAAAGCATCATTGAAAGGGACATAACTTTAAATGAATGCATTAGAAGAGAAGAAAGACCTAAAACCAATCACCTAAGACTCTACCTTAGGAATAAGAAAAAGGAGAGTAAATTAAACCCAAAATAAGGTAAAAAATTAGACCAGAAATCAATCAAATTGTAACAAGTGGAGAAAAACCAAAGAACCCAAAATCAGGTTCAGAGAGAGAGAATGACAGAGATATAGAGAGATCTTAAACTACTAAGGTCATCCCTACAGATCTACAGATATTAAAAGGGACATCAGAGAACACTATGAATAACTCTGTGACCACAACCTAGAGGAAAAAAATTTTAAACCTAGATGAAAGAGTTTTACAATTCCTTGAACCATACAAACTGTCAAAACTCACACAAGAAACAGACTGTTTATATAAAATTGAAAAAATAAATAGCCTTCTAGCAGAAAGCACCAGGTCCAAATGGTGCTTTGGTGAGTTCTATTAAACCTAGAAAAAATAAATTAATCACTCTAGTTCTCTATAATCTCATTCAGAAGATAGAAGAGGAAATTCTTTCTGTTCTAGTCCTTCTATGAGGGCAAAACAACTTTCCATACCAAAGACAGACAAAGGAATTACAAGAAAACTCTTTCAGGAACATAAATGCAAACAGCCTCACAAAAATATTAGCAAATCAAATTCAACAATGTGTAAAATAAGCTATATACTATGAACATACATGATTTATCTCAATTTTGCAAAATTGGTTCAACATTTGAAAATGTAATCCATCTTCACACATGAGAGAAGAAAAACCACATGGTCATGCTATTTTTCTAGAAAAAGCATTTGACAAAATCAAACATCCATTTATTATTAAAAGCTCTTAGTAAGCCAGATGTGGTAGCATACACCTTTAATCTCAGCACTCAGGAGGCAGAGGCAGGTGAATCTCCGGGAGATTGACTCCAGTCTCATTTACATAGTGAATTCCAGGGTAACTGAGGCTACAGGGACCCTGTCTCAAAAAATAAAAATAAATAAAAACTCTTAACAAGGAATATAGGGAAACGTCCTCAGTTTTACTAAAGGATACCTATAAACACTGATAGCTAACATACTTAATGAAACCTTACCACTGTGTTAATCAAGTACTCAGATGAGGGCATCTGATTTAGTTTAGGAGGCTGGTGTTAAAAACATGAGGTATAGACAGGATGTGGTGTGCTTTATCTTCACAGTTCCCTACTTGGAAATTTGCTTTTGTTCAGCAACTGTGATGATTCAGGGCTGAAGAGAGGGCTCAGTGGCTAAGAGCACTGGCTGCTCTTGCAGAGGGCCTGGATTCCATTCCCAGCATCCACAGGGTGGCTAACAACCCTTCATTACTCCAGTTCTAGGGTATCTTATACCCTCTTCTGGCCTCTGCCAGAACTATACCACATGGGTACACTTACATACACACAGGCAGTACACTCATACACATAAAATTTTTTAAAAATGAAAAATGTTTTTAGGCTTTGGGAATTGTTATCTAAAGAAGAAATCTTAGATGATCTAAGTTTTAACCCACCTCTCTGCCTTGTGGTTAATGAAAGTTGGAAAGAATACATTTCCAAGCTTTGTCAAGATCAGAAAGCCTGTATTCACTGTCATGTAAAGGTTCTGCTTTAAAAATGGAAGTAGAATCAATGGAAAAGGGGAAGTGATTACATAATTGAATGTAGGACTTGCTGCACTCTTTTACATAATTTTGGCTAGATTTCTTAGATCACTGATTTCTAACTAGGTTTTTCTGGAAATCTAAAAGTCTCAAAACAAGATTTAAATATTAATTAAAATAAACATATGGCCCAGGAAGATGGTTCAGCAAGTAAAAGCACTAACCTTGCTTGATGACCTGAGTTCAGTACCTGGAGCCCATATAAAAAGCCAGGTGCAGCCATGTGTGGTGGCGCATGCCTTTAATCCCAGCACTCGGGAGGCAGAGACAGGCAGATCTCTGTGAGTTCAAGGCCAGCCTGGTCTATGTAGTGAGTTCCAGGCCAGTTGGATCTACAGGGAGGCCCTGTCTAAAAAAAAAAAAAAGCCAGATGCAGTGGCGCACATCTGTAATTCTAGCATTCCGTTTCTAAATCGAGATGGGAGGCAGACAGAATCACCCAGAAACTCACTGGCCAGGCAGCCAGAACTGCCCAGCCAAGAAGCAGGAGCAAGAGAGACCCTGTCTCAATAGGATGGAATTCGAGAACCAACTCCCAAAAATTTTCCTCTGACCTCCACATAAGCACTACCCTGTGGCAGGAAAGAACTTGCATGCACACATAGCATTCTTTTTGTTACTCTCCAACTCGAAGAATTTAAGAGGAGAAAAATCATTGTCTTTAGGTCTGGTCACATTAGGCTAATAACTATGGATGAGTGGGAAAGTCTCAACACACTCTGTACAGCAAGTAGTCCTTGAAAGAAGTCATTGTGGTTTTGACATATAAAAATGCAATGAAATTTTTTTAAAAAAATAGAGGAATGAGGACTGGCGAGATCCTCAGCGTTAAGAGCATTGCTCTCACAGAGGACCTGAGCTAGACTCCCAGCACTGACATTGGATGGTTCAAAACTGCTTGTAACTACACCTCCAGGGGGATCTGATGCCTCTTTCTGTGGGTACCTGCACTCACATGTACATACCCACACACAGACACATGCACATATATATAATTAAAAATAAATCTTTAAAAATAGAGGTCACCAAACAAGTCAGTGGTGGACAATGAAATCAAAACTGAGTGGCAGCTGTGTTTCACTAAAGAAAGAGGAGAGGACCAAAGAGCCATCAGCAGTGTTGATTTGGAGGCCTCTGTGCACTCTTGGTAATTTCTCTTTCCTACTAAGTGTGAACACACTAGAGAGCACTGCTTGGTGGTGTGTAGGCTCCAAGTGTGTCCAGCCTCCATGGTTTGTATGCAGGACAGTCAGGTAGGCATTAAGGAAACAGAGTCACAAGACTGCCTAATTTCCTGGCAAGGAAGAAAAAAGTTGAGATTCCTCTCTTTGCCCTTCTCCTCAGCCTGCCAAGCTGCAGCCCCACACCCACATAAAGCCTCCTCAGGCTTTTCTTTTCTACATGAAGTGCTTGCTGAAGGAGGAATGGGACTGCCCAACATCTTTTCTAAAGATAATATTTTTTTCGTTATGTATCAGTCTTTAAAAGCTTTCCGATCTGTAATGTGGAAAAATAGAATCGCAACTCTCGTTCTGGCTGTGGAGAACACCTTGGTGCTGAGGTGTGACTTTGGTGCTGCTTGACTTTGAAGTGAGGTTACTGAAGCTTGTGGTTTTCATGGGTGCAGTTTCAGTTGTTTCCTCTCAGGGAGGAATCAGCCATCAGAAGAGTGGACGGTGTGCTACCTTCCTGCGTATTTAGGAAAAGAGGAGATACCATTGGATCATATAGGCTGCCCAGGAAAGCAAGAGCCATTAATTAAAAGCCAGGAGGGGCTCGAGAGCTGCCTCAGAGATTTAAGAGGCTTGCTGCTTTTGAAGAGGATGAGAGTTCAGGGCCCAGCACCCACGTGGGTCACTTTCAATGCCTGTAACTCCAGTTCTAAGGGATCTGATGCCTTCTGGCCTCCTCAAGCACCTGAACATACATGTACATACATGCACACCGACACACACAAACATACACATAAATAACAAAAATAAATCTTTTTAATAGTAAATAAGGACATACTGGGGAGCAAGGAGAGAGCCAGCAGAAGCTCTAGCCTTCCCTGGCTGGCCCGGGGCTCTCACCCACTCAGGGCCCTGCTGGTCTTCACATGCTTGGTGACCCGCTGCCTTGGGCTCCCAGCCGGGCCTGGTGTATCCCTAGGGCTGCACTTCCGAGGCGATCATCGCCCCGGGGTGTGGCTCCCCTCCAGACCCCAGGGCACAGCAGCCCTCTGGTCTCTCTGCCTTAACCCTCGCAGCCCTTCTTTTGGTTTTTCATTCCTCTGGTTTGAGGCTGTTTATGCTCGGAGGCGCCATGGTGCCAGGTTACAGTGGACGCTTAATAAATGCAAGTTGGATCCGAGCGCAGGGACTGTGGGCCGCAGACCTGGACATGGGATGGGAACGCGGAGCAGGAAGGCAGGCAGGTAGGGCCACGCCACCAGGCTGTACCTGTGGCAGATACCCAGAGGGGTTTTCCTTAGCTTCTTACTAGCAGAGATGACAGAGCAAAGGTTTTTGCAGTGCTTGGGAAGTGTCAGTCAGAATCACGGTGGGTTCACCCACTTCGGTGCAAACTTCTGAGAGCCTGGGTCCACTTTGCCATATTTGACCTACATGAGTTCAGTGCTATGTTTTTTTGTTTGTTTGTTTGTTTGTTTTTTAATTATTTATTTAATAACCACATACTTAGAAGAAGCATTTCATTAGAGTCTTTCTGAAAGGAACAATATATTCTAAAATGAAATGGAGATCTGTTTTAAAAGTGCTATGTTTTTTAACCGTGTCTTTGCCATTTCCATGGCAATGGTTACTAATCTAATTTTGAAATGTTATAGTTGAAAATTAGTGCGTTTGTGTTTGGCTTTTGTTTTGTTTGTTTAAAGATGTGTTCTTGCTAATAGCCTAAGGTGGCCTGAACTCTGCCCTCCTCCCTCAGCCTTCCAAGTGCTGGTAGTCGCCACCACACCTGACTAGCGGCTTTATTTTTTAAAGGTTTGTTTTTACTGTATAGCATTTGGCTTTCCTTTGAAATCACATTTAAGTTTTCCTGCTTTGTTGTGCTTTGCTGGTCTTGTAGTTCAGGTTTTTAAAGCCCTCCTCCCCGTATTAGAGTTAGGACAAGTCTGCACAAAATATTTACAGCACAAATGAATAAATGGATGATGGATGGATGATAGATAACAAAGACAATAGGGAGATAAACAGGTGATAGCTTTACAGTAATTGATTGTGCTACTGGGAGGAGGAGGATTTTCTTGCTGCATGAGGACTGATGTGAATCCATGGGATCTTGGATCGCCTGGGCTGCTTAGGAAGACAGAATTAGAAGCTAGAATTCAGGTATGGATATAGCTCAGCAAGGAAGGGTGCTTGCTGCCGTGGCTGACAAGCTGAGTTCCATCCCAGGCCCCACATGGTAGAAGAAGAGAACCAGCTCCAGAAAATTTCCCTCTGGTCATAGCCACACTGTGATATGTGCGCAAGTGCACACGCACATAAGACAATAAATAAATGTAATTTAAAAATTTTAAAATCTGGACTCCCCAGGTAACCTAGGACAAAAGTTATAAAGGAATAAAGATAGAAAGGACCACTAAGTGGGACAGAACCACCAAGAATCTTCAGGATCAGTAAGACCTGAGGAGCCTGACACACTGCTGTTAAGGTTACCATGAACTGTGCTCCACAAGCCATCTGTGCCCAGCTCTACGCACCAGCCATATAATCAAATGGACTTCCAGTAGAGCCAAAACTGAACCATGAGAGTTGCCAGAAGTGTAGCATATGGAAAGATTTTTCAGAAGCAGGAATGACAGCTAGAGGTGATCATGAAAATGGTACCCCACTCCCCAGAAGTCCAGAGGAAGAACAGACTTGGAAGGGGAATGCTACCCACCGTCAAGATTCTGTATCCACTTCGTCTTCTACAGTACCAGCAGCCAATGAGCAGAGAAATTCCCAGGACCACTGTCAGGATGCCAATCCCTGCAGCCCTGGGAGACAGACAGGACTAGGGACTCAGAAACATCATTCCAGATTACAGTGGAGCAATAGCCAATTTTCTGTCTTCACATGAGTTTTCATAGTCCAGAAAAGCATCTCTCAGTCCCCAAATAGTTTGCCATTCTCCACAAAGGACAACTAATAAGACCTCCAGTATCTAACACAGGACCTAGTTTAGGAGCTTTTAGTTTGTGGAGCACTACCACCTGTACAGCCCAAAGCACCCAAGTACCAAACGCAGGAGGAGCCCTAGCATCTGACCCTCATGCAGACAGAATAGTTATTGGATAGAGTGATCTTTTCTTCTCATCAGGGCTAATTCAAAGCATTTTCTACAACTCAGTCCAGAAAAAGGAAGTAGCAATGAGCACTGACTATAACTTGTATTTCTTGTAATAACCCTGGAAGATAGACACCATTTATTATCACCATTTTACCAAGGAGGAAATAAATTCAGAAGATCGGTGATCAGAGCTATCACAAGACAGAAGCAGGGTTTGAGCCTGAGGCCATCTCTGCCCTAAACTCTCCCCTGGCCCTTTGTGATCCTGGAGAGAAAAGTCTGAACCCAACTTACAACAAAGTTAAGGTATTGCTTATGAAAGTATCTAGTCCTGAGCAGCAGGATGCCATTCTGAGGAACTAGGCCAGCCTCTTGTATCCTGTGTCCAGAGACCCCTGGAAAGTATTACACTTGCCACAAAGGCCCCAGAACAGGGTTCAGGCTGTGTATGCCATGCCTGCATAGCACTTTCAGTCAGCTGTCATCTGCCTGACAGTCCACATCTCAGCATGATCAGCATGGAGTAAAGGATACTTATCTGTGACTGTGAACTTATTAAGAAAGGCTCTGCAGAGCTAAGCCATGCATAAGAAACTGAGTAGCTACAGGGAAGCTAGGTCGAATAAAGGAGAGAGTATTGCCCAGTATTACCTACCGCCGTCTCAAGGCTACCCAGACATCAAGTATATCCTGTTCAGCTGCAAAGGGGAGAGAGAGCACTGGAGGATGAGATTACTAGAAGGAAGCTCTGACCTGTTCATGTAGGCCAGTGCTCCCATTTTATAGATCAGGAAGCTGAGATCAAACAAGATTCAGACCTCCAAGCTCCTACTGTTCTATAAGCCTGCATGGCTGAAGCACCCAGGTCCAAGGCATAGGAGGGGCCCTAGTAGCTGATCCTCACTGAACACCATTTTGTACTGGGCACTGTACTAAGCACCCCACGTGTGTGCTTTGGTTTTACCCTCACACAAATCCCCTGAGGTAGGATATGTTCATTTTACAGCTGATATTAGGCTGGTAAAATGCCGGAAGACGCACAGCCAGCAAGTGGCGGAACCAGCTCGGTAATGAGCTAGACACTCCACAAGGGAGCTCTAGGATTTAGGTCAGACCCAAGTCTCCTGTTCAGTGTTTTTTCCTGCAGAAATCCGTCTCCTAAAATGAAGCTGTCACAAGGAGTATTCAATGGGTCCTCATGACTGAAGGCAGCTGACACAATTCACAGGGTGCCTGTGTTCTAACTTCACCCTGTGGTCTCCCTTTGAACATCTTGACAGTCAGAGCTCTGTTCCAGGTCTTTACACACAGTCACATTGTACTCACTACACACAAGGGACTGAGAACATAAAGCCTCAAAGAATGCCAGACACATGTGAAGAACAGCTTGGCAGGGCTCTCAGTCACCCAGACACCTGCAGCAGAATCAACTGAGATACAGTTAATGGGAAAATCCTAGGGCCCCGCTCCTGGCCTACCAACCTAGCTTCTTGGGGGCAGCACCTAGGAATATATGGTTAAGGCAGCTCTCTGGATGACTTATTCCCACTCAGCTCTTGTCCACTGAAGCTTCAAGGAGGCAGCTAACAGTCAGAGCATGTGTGTATTCCTTTTTGAGTGACTTCACATTGTTCTTCCTTGCTGTACCTACTGGCAAGTTTCAGAGAGAAATATCCTCCGACAATCTCAGAGATTCATTGCTCCAATACAGATACCCCTGTTCCCCGGCTTCCAACCCCCCTGTTTAAACAGATGGTTGAGCAAGGACCTTTCAGGATGAGTCCTGATAATGGCCTTGTGCAGTTATTTTCTTCACAGATTTCTTTCACTACCCTGCACAAAGTCATGCTGTTCCATGTACTCAATGGTTCCTTCCTTCACAGAGTGGGGTTTAGGATGTAGCTGTGCTGGGAACTATGGTGATGTCAATGGAAATGGGTATGGGTATTTTTCTTTTGTGTTGGAACCCAGCAGCATCTCTATGCTATCAGGGAAGAGACCAGAGAACTCATCTGAGCCTGTATGAACACTTTGTTCAGGATTCAAGAAAGAAAGCGTCTGCCTTCAGGCAAGGGGCTTCTTTATATGATGGTGGCAATAAGCCCCTTCTGTACTTTGTAAGCTGTTGTCGTCAACCCAACCCTGCCTTTCTAATCCCTGCTCTGAGATGTTAACTGGACTCTGCAGATCCCACTTCTTTGCCCATTTGCTCCCTTAGGGTGATCAAAGGGAGCCTGCAGGACCGGAGGAGTGGCTTCTTGTAGTTTACTTCCTGTTCTGGTCAGCCTCACCCCAGCAGCAGCTTTTCACATGATCAGTCAGCCCAGGCACCAGCTCTATTTCTGGCTCTCAGAGCTAGCCTCTTCATGTCCCCACCAGCTGACTACCCCAGAGTCCTGAGTACACAGGCGCCAGCCAAGAGAAATCCCTCTTCAGTTACGTGGATTCCATTTTTCTAGGTTCTCCCCCCTCCATTCCAGGTTCTAATGGACACCCCCCCCACACACACACACACTTCTGCCTATTTATTTCCTTAGTCCCAGGGACAGAAGCAGCATCCTGTGGTCACTACTTTGCCTCTTCAGGTTCGGCACTTGCTTGACTAATTCCTCATACTAAAGATGACACCTGATTCCTGACTAGACCCCGAGAGTAACTGCTCAAGCCACTACCTTCACCAGCTGGGGCAATACACCACAAAGGGGACTCAGCTTTAGCCTACTGAGCTGATGGCTCCTGCCTCCAGCTTCCAGCTGGCAGTCAGATATACTGATCTCTGCCCTCGCCTCTCTTTGAATGGGATTGTGCAAATATTTGCTTCTGTTGGCCCATAGCTTGGTGCTTCATAGGCAAATAGACCTGTATTCAATCCCAGCATTACCACATCCTATTGCACATAGCCAAGCTTCTGTAAGCCTTTTTCCACATATAACACAGCAGGATGGCACGGGTGTCACCACGTGTGGGATGAACTGAGGTAATGTGTGCTAATGGAAAAGAATATCCTAGCCTTCCATTAGTTTCCCACTTTCTGTTGGTGAGACACAAAGATGATGACATACCATCTTCACGCAAATAGAGGCAATGTCCAGGGGACGCAACCAGAGAGAAGACTCCTGGACTACATGAGAGATAGAGCTCTATCTAAAAGAAGAGCCCATGGAGCTGCCCTATAGACACTGAAACAATACCACGTGCAATGTACCCCTGCTTTAAAAAATTAGCATATTTTTATTCTTGAGACAATTCAGTAGCATATATCAGTACCCTTGCCTTCCCAGCTGGCCATGCTAAGGTATGAGAGAATCCACTCCTAGCCAGAATCCATGGATGGATTCTACATCTTGCTAACTGGTTGAATCTATAAAAGATTTTCCAACAGCTCTTTCTAAAAAGAAAGCAGGTCTTCAGGGGTTCTGAACAGACTACGTAAAAGGCAAGCTAAATAAAAGCCTGGTTCCTATTGTCCTGCTGGGGTTGGTGCTCAGTTTCTCTTCCCAACACCACACCCTTGCCTATTCCCAGCACATGGCACATGGAGAGTGTGTCCCATAGCCTGTGTTCCTAACAGCACTTGCATTTGCTGAAGTTTCTCTCCTGCCTAACTGACACTGGACTCTGAGCCTTTTCAAAGATATCAAAGTATTTTCCCTTGTCCACACTAGCTCTTTGGCAACTTAACTATTCTGTCTGCATAGCACCTGCAGGAATCTGAGGGGAGCTGACAGAACACACTTAAGAAATGAGGAGTCCAGATCCTGGACAGATGTTTCCAAGCTTGGGAACCTACAGCTAGGGCCAAGAATGCAGACAAAAACAGATCCAAATTTTCTCACCTCAACCTCTCTGCCTGTTTGGCCCCAGAAAAGTGCAAATGAGGCCCTTATAGGACTCCTAAGTCCTCTCTCTATGGTGCCAGTGTTTTTACTTTCTGGGGAGATAAACACTAGATAGGCATGTGCCAGTGGAAGTCAGCAGGCTGTGTCAGCAAATGGCAAACTGGAAGTCCCAGAGGGTCTGCTTTTGGAACTTACTCTTCAGTTGTGATGTAAGAGTGGCCATGTCCTTTCCTGGGGTAACCATAGTAAGCCTCTTCTCGTGGCATCATGAGGGATCCACAGACAGGACACCTAAAGAAAGGGCAGATGGGCAATGCTTAGTGTGTCCAAAGCATCTTCCCACATCTCAAAGACCCAGAGACCATCCCTGCACACCTGGTTCTCCCTGTGAGGATTCATACTTCCTTCTTTCACTAACTTTAAGACCTTTAGAAATAATTCAGATTTCCAACATCTTTGACTTAGAGGAAAATGAAGTTATAAGAAGAAACTACAAATGAAGGCAAAACACTTTAAAACTGAGTTATGTTTGGAGGAGGTGATCTTTATTTGCCTCCATTTGGATTCTATACCATAAACTCAGAAAGAAAGAAATAAAAAGCATTTTTATCTATTCTTTCTCTGCCTTTGCTGGCCGAGGGTAGCAGTTAAAACAAGAGGCCAGTGAGATGACTCAGTGGGTAAAGGCACTTGCCACATGAGCTTGGCAACCTAACTTGGATCCCCAGAACCCATACAGAGGTGAAAGGACAAACCGACTCCACAGAGTTGTCCTCTAATCTCCACACATGTACTGTGACATGCACCCCCCCATATGTACACACACCCCAATAATAATAATAATAATAATTTTTTAATTAGAATAAGTTATATGAGGCATTATTTATCTCCAGAGTTACTACTATCATCAATTCCTGGACAAACAGAACAGCACAATGAGATGTCTGTTTCCCAGAATGCCCCCAGCCTGAGCTTGGCCAGGCTGTATCTGCAGAGTGACTAAGCAAAGCATCTCCCAACCCCATTTTTCAACCAGGAAAACCATTCTTGTTGGCCAAGTGCATGTCATTTAAAACAAGTGGAGAAAGCCCAGGGCCTGACTTCATCTAGCAATTTGTTTCCCTCTAACCTAATTCAATTTCGACTTCTCCCTAGTTCAAGTCTCACAGTTAGGAGTTAATAGTTAAAGTGAGCTCATTAAAAACCAATAGCAGACGCTTTTCTTGTTGCTGTTATTGTATATTTTTCTTCCCTCTTACTGTTTTTGTGAATTTCAAAAGTTTGATCCCCATGGAATTACATTAATGAGCTCCAATTTGAACAACAGGGAAATGGAGAGCGAAGCAGGGATTTTTTTTTTTCATTACATGACTCCTTCCCATGGGGGAGGGCATCATTTCGTATGTAATTTTCCCTTCCCAAGTGCAAAAAGAAAATTACAGTTGAGTTCATGGATTATCTCAGGTGGGTGATGTAAGGGTGAACCCTGTGCTCGGAATGACAGACAAGAAACTCAATCTTGCATTAAATTGTTTTTGTACATAGCTACTTCAAGCTCAAAGCCTTAGCAAATGGTTAGGGGCAAATGAACCTCAACCCACTCAAACCAAGAGACTCTCCTTTAGGTGACAGACTGCATCGAGTTGCTGTTCTTCTTGGCAGCCTTGGAAGAGCGAGGGAATATTCAGGATGAGACTGTGAACCTGTAGAAGTTAGAGATTACAAAGACTGGGGTGCGATTCTGCTGACAGTCACACATCAGGGAAGCACTGAGGGAGGGGGAAGTCCACTAGCATTGCCAAGCCCTTTTCTGGGAGAAATCAGATTATGTAGGGGTACTGAGAAGACAACACTCTTACCTTTCTGAAGACAGTCCTCTGCCTGCTGATGGGCTAGCTGTGCGTGTGTGTGTGTGTAGATTGCTTCTGTGGCTCTTAATCTTTAAGGGAAATTTTTTTTCCCTTGATCTTGAGTCCCATGATCGTCATGAGTTTGGATTCTTGATGGGTCGTCTGTGATTGCTTATATGGCATGAAAGGAACCAACTTCATTCTAGCCTTAGGAAAAAAAAATCACAGCTCACCATGGACTTTGTTTTCCCCAATTCTAATGCTTATTATTATTATTATTATTATTATTATTATTATTGGTCTTTTTGAGACAGAGACAGGGTCTCCCTGTAGCCCCAGGCTGGCCTTGAACTCACAGAAATCCACCTGCCTCTGCCTCCTGAGTGCTGGGATTAAAGGCGTGCACCACCACTAATGCATCATCTTTAAGGAAGTCATTTATTTGTAAGTTACCAGACAAAATACAGGTTTTCAGTTAAAGCTGAGCTTCAGATAAACAACAAATATTTCTGTCCTATATATCATGCAATGTTTTTACTACACACATATCTCACATACTGCATGGGACATCATTACACTAAAAAATGTTATGTGTATGAGCAGAGTATGGTGGTTCATGCCTGTAATACAGCACCTTGGAGGCTGAAGCAGGAGGATCTCAAGTTTGAAGCAACTTGGCCGATACGGTTAAACCCTATCTCAGAAAAAGTGTGTTGTGTGTGTCGGGGCGTGGGGGCAGTGGATATATGTATTTAGTTGTTTATCTGAAATCCAAGTTTAACTGGAGGTCAGGTTTGAGTGACACACATCTTTAATCCCATCACTTGGGAGGCAGAGACAGGTAGATCTCTGTGAGTTCAAGGCCAGCCTGATCTACATAGTGAGTTTCAGTTTAGCCAGGGCTCCACAGTGAGATCCTGTCTCAAATAATAATGAAACAACAACTAAGTTTAACTGGGTGCCCCTATTTCCCCCTAAACAGTTGAAGAGCCTGTAGGCCAAGATCCAGAAGCACCTATCTAGTCCTACTTTCTCATGTCCAAGAAGAGGAAATAGAAGGTCCCCAAATCCTCTGAGTTTCCTTGAGTTCTTTTTGGTAGCCCTGGGTAAACTATGAGTGTTCATGCATTTGCAAGAGACAGATGACATTTTCCTTTTTGAGGTGAACCTGCTTAGACTCTCACTGAAACCAGGGATAGTTCTACTTAATGTCATAACCTACTTTGAGAGTCATGTGTGGAGCTCCATACATTTTGATAGAATGCAGTAGTCACCTTTGATGACCAGCTCTCCATGGTAATTATGGATAAACAAGATAAAGCAAAAACCCCACCAGAATGAAGGAATACAAGAGTCCTCATCAGTTATGGTGACTGACTGCAAAGATCGCCCATCACATCTCAGGGCCATGTCCTTCTCAGTCCCTGACTTTGCAATGTTCAGGTGGAGCTACGGACAAAAGCTTGCTGTGTGTGAGGGAAATTAGCCCACTGGAAACTGCGCAGTCATCACTAGAATTGTCAAGAGACAAAACAGAGAAAGAAGAGGGAATCCTTATTAAATGAGACATTTTCTGAAAAAGACAGAAAATTTAAACTGGGATCTGAATGACAGGAAGAAGGTGGCCATGAAAAGATGGAAAAGAAGAGTTGGGAATTTAGTTCTATGGCAAAGCATTTGTGAAGCCTTAAGGTCCACCCCTAGCCCTGTTTAAAAAACAAAGGAAAAACATTTCAGATGGAATAGCCAAAACAGAAGCACTGAGACAGAATGACAGAATATGAGTTGGGCTCCCAGAACTGGAGTTGGACCAGGAGATGTTTCTTCCTTTTCTTCTTCTTTTTTCTTTTCCTTTATTTATTTTTAATATATTTTTAAATTTTCTTATTTGATGTGTATGAATGCTTTGCCTTCATGTATGTAAGTACACCAAGTTCATGCAGTGCCTGCAGAGGCCAGAAGAGGGTGTTGGATCCCTCTGAGCTGGAGTTTTGAATGGTTGTTAGCCAGCATATGGGTGCTGGGAATTGAACGTGGGTCCTCTGGGAGAACGAGTGTTCTTAATTGCTGTGTCATCTCTCCAGCCCCCCCCACCCCCCTTTTTTTTTATTTTTTGAGGCAGGGTGTCACAAAGCCCAGGCTGGCCTTGAAATCACTATGAATTGAGAATGACTTTGAGCTCCTGATCTTCCTGCCTCTGCCTCCCAAGTGCTGTGATTACAAGCACGTGCCACCATGCCCAGTTTGGATCAGGAGATTTTATACAGAAGTTGGAAAGGCTATAAGTCTATGGTGTCATCAGATTTGGAGATAGCCACTTCAACCTGAACATCAGGGTTATGTTTGGTGACTCCCAGAAAAACCAACTAGGGGTGATTGCTGGTCTACAGAGAAAGCTGCAGTTCTGAACTAAGAGGCCCAAGGTTTGCACTCAGCTGGTATCTATGACCAACCTGGGCCCTTAAATGATTAGGGTGAGACCATAGATCACGGAGGTGCTGTCTTAAATCTCAGGATGGAATGAAGCTCCTAAGTCTCACTCCAGTCCTCTGGTGACTTGATTCAGAAGGCTTGGGCATGTCCTGGCATCATTCCAGGGTAGGGATATCAAGACAGCAGTCATCAACCCCTCCTAGAGAGGGGCTCTACGAACAAACTCAGCATCTGACCACACTGCGGCCTCTCAGGTGTCTACTCAAGTTAGTCTGCTTTCTACAACTCGCAGGGCAGCCATCACTAGCTCTTCCATAAGCATGTCTCTGGGACTATGTGTGGTTTGCGCCGCTGAGGTACTCATTTCCTTAGAATTACAAACAACAGAGTCTCCAGTCTGAATTGCCTGCTCCTCATCTCTTCAATTGAAACCTCTGAACACCCCAGGGCACTCATCTAAAAAACTAAAAAACTGAAAAAAAAATTTTTTAAAAAGTGAGGCTTAAGGTGTCTGCTCCACAGGATCATTGTGAGAGTTAAACAGGATAATGCTCGCACAGCATGTGCTTGGCCATAACAGAGTGAAATGTTCCAGTGAAGCTGTCCTCAGCCCCAACTCAGAAGGCTTGGCCACTGGCCTACCTTTGTCCAGGTTAGAAATTGCACTCCTGCACCTCCCTGGCCACTGACTGATTCTCTGTTGCCACCTAGTGGGCACTGTTCCCCTTGCGCCACAGGCCCATTTCATGAAGGGGCTTAGAGTATCTTTGATTTTTCAGCCATGTCTTAGAGTGCTAGGAGGGGTGGGGCTGGGGGTGGGGGGCTCTTTATTGGTCGTCCTTGAGGCGCAAAGCCGTCCTCGTTACTCCCTCATAAGATTGTGAGCCTTTGCGCTCGCTCTCACACCCCCCGCAAAGACATTGCTATCAATGTTGGTTGATGCTGGCGCCTTTTGGAGGAAGCTGAGTGGAGGAGCAGCCCTTGCAAGGCAGAGAGACAGGTGAATAGCTCAGTGGGGACTCAGGCAAGTGTCGAAAGAAAGACTCCTCCCCTAACGCGATTGGCGGGGAATCCCAGTTTCCACCGCTTATTACTAGAGCCATCTCTGTAAGTTGCTTCTCCTTCTGATCTTCAGCGTCCTCATCTAAAAAATGAGAAGAAGAATAATTTCAGAATTGCCAGAAGCAATGGAGACGAATGTAAATCGTCAAGCGTAGTGCCTGAAACGTTATTGAAACTGGAGAAAGGCTGGTGTGGGTCCTGCAGACCAGCAAGCACTTGGAGAAAGAAGCCAGGTAAGCCTGAGCCTAAGCACTCAGGACCACTGTTAAGTGTCAATCAGACCAGAAGTCACTGCCTGGACAGAGAGGTTCTGATAGTGTCAGGACAGTGGCAAGGTAGATTCTGGAGCAGACACAGGCTCTCTGGAAGAGCCTAATGGGGGAGCCCTGTCAGACTGGAGGACCACAGAGCCTGTCTTTCCTTCCTCGGACACCCAAGTAACAGCACCCCTGTGGGAGTCAGTGGACCCCCTTAAGGAGTGGGAAGGCCACCATCAGCTCCCACACCATTAGAAAGGTGTTTATGTGAGCTGGCCTCAGCCCAACACATGCACAAAAGCTTGCTCACAGGTGAGACACACAGCCCAGTTCCTAAGGTGAGCAGAGAAGATACCGAACTATGGAAAACATTTGGGAAACAGCAATCCTAGAAGCAACAGTGTGTTGTGTTCTGGACTGGCTCAACGCTGGATTGGTGACATAAAGGACAGATAGGAGAGAGCTCGGATTTTGAAGTCTGAGCCAAATGCTTATGCCAATATTGACTGGTTATGTATCTTTGGGTATAGAAGACTGTCAGGATGAAGCTCTTCATCTGTAAAATGGAACACAGCCTCTCTCAGGGAAGCTGATAAGTCACATCTGCTGAGTCAGACATCATGTAACTCTTTTATCAGTTGGTTATAAGCAGCAGAAATTTGAATCTGATTACTTAAAGAAATTAAAGACAAATTACCAAGGTATCCTATAGAACTGAAGGTACTTAGTAAACCAGGACTTAATAATGGTCAGATGTGGTGGCACACATTTATAATCTCAGAACCTGAAAGGCTGAACCAAGAAGACAGGGAGTTCAGGACCAGCCTAGACTACATAGCAAGATTCTTCAAGCTATTACCATCACAGTGAAACCAGCTTTAAGGATGTTCATCTCTGTGCATAAGACTCAGATTCTGTGGGGAATCTTGCCTAGCTTGGGTCTCAGAACAAGACCTGCACTGTATGCAGTGACTTGGGGTGGCAGAGAGGGTTAACAGCTGTCAAGGCTGCTGATGATGAAGGAAAAATTCTCCAGAAGGTACCAGGAAAAGACGCAAGAGAAACAAACAGCTGCCTCTACTTCAAGCAGACAGTGGCTGCTCGGTTATACTAGGTTTATTAAGCCAGAGTTTGCCCCTGAGATGTTTTCCTGGTCTTTACTCTTTCTTAAAAAGTCATGTAGAAAGAACTGAATTGTCTATCTGGAAATCCTGCTGGAGGGAAGGGAAGGCTGCCAGCGACTCTCTGTTGACATCCCACCCTCCCACTTTGCTGCACCATA